TGATGATGAGGAGGAGGAGGAGGAGGAGGAGGAGGAGGAGGAGTAGGAGATGGAGGATGCGGAGGGGGATGGAGGATGAGGGGAGGAACAGGGAGGAGGAGGGAGGCGGAGGAGTGAGGAGAAGGGAGCTGGAGCGGGTTAGGAGAAGGGAGCTGAAGGGAGAGCGAGGAGGAAGAGGAGGACGACAAAGGGGGAGAAGGAGTATGATGTGTGCGTCGGCGCGACGGCGACCCCAGCGCAGGCGTTCAAGGTTGACTTCGCAGGTATTTGTAGGAACCTCTTTGGGTTTTCTTCTCTTCGATCGTTGTGGATCAAACCAGTTTCCTCGCCACCGGCTTCTCGACCACAAGATGAGGGTCATGCTGATAATGGTGAGGGCGATGCGGACGAGGAGGAGGATCGGGGTGATGATGAGGGTCACGATCAGGAGGACGATGATGAGGATGAGGATGACGAGTGAGGATGGTGAGGACGAGGATGAGGACGATGACGATGAGGAGTGGTGTGACGATGACGATGCTGATGATGATGACGATGATGATGATCACGATTACGATCGTGATGTTGGTCATGCTGATGGTGATTGTGGTGGCGATGATGATGATGATGATGATGATGATGATGATGATGATGATGATGATGATGACGCACAGCATGGCGATGGTGAGGACGATGAGGGCGAAGAGGCGGACGATGATGATCATCACGATGATGACGATGATGATTATGATGGGCTGGTCGTCGTCGTCAGGGTCCTACAGGATTCCATAGGATTCCTACAGGAATCCCACAGGATTTCCATAAGATTCCTACAGGGTCCTAAAGGAGTCCGTAGAAATTCTTGAATATTATAGCATTCCTACAGAATCCTACCGGATTCCATAGGTCTCCTATAGGAATTCTACGGGATCCCTACAGGGTCCTACAGGATTCCATAGGAACCCTATAGGAATCCGGTTGGAATCCTATAGGATCCCTGCAGGGTCCTACAGGAGCCCACAGGAAACCAATTGGAATCCTGTAGGAATCCTGTAGGATCCCTACGGGGTCCTGCAGGATTCCATGATAATCCTATTGGAATCCTTGAGAAAACCTGCAGGATCCCTGCAGAGTCCTACAGGATTCCATCGGAATGCTATTGGAATCTTATTGGAATCATATAGGATCCCTACAGGGTCCTACAGGATTCCATAGGAATCCTATTGGAATCCTATTGGAAATCCGATCGGTCCCTACAGGGTCCTACAGGATTCCATCGGAATCCTATTGGAATCCTAGTGGAAATCCTATAGGGTCCCTACAGGGTCCTACAGGATTCCATAGGAATCCTATTGTAATACTATTGGAATCCTATGGGATCCCGACAGTGTCCTACAGGATTCCATGGGAATCCTATTGGAATCTCATTGGAAACCCATAGGGTCCCTACAGGGTCCTGCGGGATTCCATAGGAATTCAATTGGAATCCTATGGGTCTTCTATTGAAATCCTATAGGATCCCTACAGGGTCCTACAGGATAGCATAGGATTCCAATAGGAATCCTATGGGGGTCATATAGGATCCCTACAGGGTCCTACAGGATTCCATAGGAACCCTATAGGAATCCTAGTGGGGTCCTTTTGGATCCCTATAGGATCCCTTCAGTGTCCTACAGGAATACATAGGAAACCTGAAGGAATCCTATAGGATCCCTACAGGGTCCGACAGGATTCCATAGGAATCCGATTGTAATAATATTGGAATCCTATGGGATCCCTACAGGGGCCTACAGGATTCTGTAGGATTCCTATAAGAATCCTATAGGAACCCTACAGGATTCCAGAGCAACCCTATAGGAATCCGATGGGGGGCCCTATAGGATCCCTACAGGGTCCTACAGGATTCCATCGGAACCCTATAGGAATCCTATAGATCCTTCCAGGGCCCTGCAGGATTCCATAGGAATCTTATAGGGAGGAGGAGCTGGCCTCGCTGGCGCGCGGTCGGTTTTCGGACACAGGAGTGCGTGGGGAACAGTAAGGGAGCCCACGGAGCTTCGGAAACACATATAGGTTTACGTCAGCGTATGACAGAGGTGTTGCGCGTTGCCCCCCCCCGGGGGCAACAACTGCAACGTGTGGCCTGGGGGAGTGCGCTCGCCCCGTGGGCGAGGACACCGCCACGGGCCCCGCAGGGGTGGCCTGAGAGGGTGTCCTTGCGAACAACAACAACAGCTACAACAACAACAGCAGCGACAAAAACAACAACAGCAACAACAACAACAACAGCAACACCAACAACAACAACAGCAGCAACAACACCAACACCAACACCACCATCATCAACAACAACAACAACCACAACAACAACACCAACACCAACACCAGCAACAGCCACAACAACAACACCAACACCAACAACAGCAACAACAGCAACAACAGCAACAACAACAACACCAACAGCAGCAGCAACAACAACAGTTACAACACTAGCAACAACAATAACACCAACAACAACAACACCAACAGCAACAACAACAACAGCATCAACAACAGTAACACCACCAACAACAACAATAACAACACCACCAACAACAGCAACAATAACAGCAGCAACAGCAACAGCAATAGCACCAACAATAATACGAACACGGACACGACCAACAACAACACCACCACCAACAACAATAACAACGCCACCACCACCACCAACAGCAACACCAACAGCAGCAGCAGCAACAGCAGCAGCAACAACAACACCAACAACAGCACGAACACGAACAACACCAGCAGCAACAACAACAACAGCAGCAACAACAATAGCAAAACCAAAAACAATAAGGAAGCAATAGCAACAACAACAATCATGCTAATACTGTTCACCCGTATCTGCTCGAGTGTCCAATAACGCGTATTTCCCAAACCCTCGATGCCCGCCCTCTTCGTCTTCGATCGAACCCCTTTTGGGGGGTATACCTTTCTTCCCTGCAGGCCGGGCCCCGGCAAGCGGCGGGGCGGCCGCGGACCGTCAGCACTGATCGGCGCGGCGGCCGCGGACCGTCAACCCGACCCCAAGAGGGACGGACAGAGGCCCGACCACGACGACGACGACGACGTCGACGACGAAGGCGACGACGACGGCGACGACGAGCGAAAGCGAGAGAGATCGACAGTAGGGCCACGAACGACACGAAGTAGGCCACGAAGGGCGACAGCGGGGACACGAAGGGAATGCGTATGGGGCCATGAAGAGCGCGAACGAGCGGGGGCCACGAAGGGCAGATAATGCAGGGCCACAGAGGGCCACTGAGGGTAGCAACTGGGCCACGTTGTACAGTGAGGGGGCCACAAACGGCGACAGCGGGGCCATGAAGGGCATGCACATAGGGCCACAACGGGCGCGAACGAGCGGGGGCCACGAAGGGCATACGTATGTTGGGCCGCGGAGGGCAAGGACGGGGCCACTGAGGGCAGCAACGGGGCCACGAAGGGCAGCGATGGGGCCACGAAGGGCGACAGCGGGGCCACGAAGGGCATGCATATTGGGCCACCACGGGCGCGAACGAGCGGGGGCCACGAAGGGCATACATATATGGGGCCACGAAACAAAGCGCGGGGGCCACGAAGGGCTGCAACGGGGCCACGACACAAAGCGAGGGGGCCACGAAGGCTGCAACGGGGCCACGAAGGGCAGCGACGGGACCACGAAGGGCTGCAACGTGGCCACGAAACAAAGCGAGGGGGCCACGAAAGGCTGCAACGGGGCCACGAAGGGCAGCGAGGAGGCCACGAGGGGCTGCAACGGGGCCACGAAACAAAGCGCGGGGGCCACGAAGGGCTGCAACGGGGCCACGACACAAAGCGAGGGGGCCACGAAGGGCTGCAACGGGGCCACGAAGAGCAGCGAGATCCCGATTCCTAGGTAATCTGCGAGGGAGTCCTAAGCGTGAGCGCGACTCCTGGGTGCCTGGGTGTCGGGAGCGCGGCGCGTGAGTAAATTGTCAGAAATTCCAATGCAAGGGCGCTATTCGTCAGTAAATTGCAAGCAAATCTCCAGCGAGAGCGCGACTCCAGGGCGCCGGGAGAGCGATTCCTGAATAAATTCTAAGGAAGTCCCAAGCCCAAGGGAGAGCGCGATTCTTGAATAAAATGCGAGGAAGTCTCGGGCGGGAGCGGGGGTCTTGGCTAAATTGTGAAGAAATCTCAAGCGGGAGCCGTTGTTGTTGTAACCCGGGGGCCAGGGGCGTAGTTTGAGCATCAAGACTTTCCCTGTCACGAAACAAGGTGCGAGCGTCGAGGGGCACACATTGATTGAGAAAAACAGTATGCACCGGTGAGGGGGGATCAACACTAATTATTCTTCAGAAATGAGAATTCAACACCACCAACAACACCACCAACAACAACAACGCAACAAACGTAATTCTCACCAGGAACTCCCTATTCAGCCACGCGCCCAAGGACAATGAATGACCGTTCGGCCCCCTCACTCTTGTTGAATTTGTGTGTATATATATATACACGGACGAAGACACACATATTTACATACATGTATATATATATATACATATCCCTTTCTTTCCCTTCTCCCTTCCGTGTCTTAACCCTCACTGCACGCAAAAAGGCCGACTGCAGCCTAAAACATCCAAGGGTCTTGGCGGCTGCGGCGTCAGCTCTCTGTCTCTCTCTGTCTGTCTTTCTCTTTCTCTCTCTATATGTATGTACGTGTATATATACATATATATATATGTACATATATACATACATACAGATCTGCTCACAAATTCCTGTATGCGCACAGCGTGACTCGTCGTTGTCATCGTCTTCACCCTTTCCTCCTCCTGTTCTTCCTCCTCCTCCTCCTCCTCATCCTGGAGCCCTCGACTTCTCAATGGAATTCATATTTCTTCTCCTCATCTGGACTCTTGCCCCCCGATTCGTCAATCGTTTCTCCCATTGGTCTTATCCTTCCATCCACGCGCACCATTGCCTCGCGACTCAACACATGGAACAACCCGTCGTCACGGTGGGACACCTTGGCGTAGGCCCACGCGATGTTGGCCAAGTGCTGGGAGTCGCAGTCCCTCCGGCGGAAAAAAAGGACGGATGACGCCGACGACGGGGGCACAGCGATTGTCAGCCAGACTTCCGCGGACCCACCTGAAGTTCGCAGGGCTGACTCTGCCCGATTGTGCCCTACCGTTTCTGAGCCGCCTCGAAAGCAACTGCCAGGGCAGATCGTCGGTGCGCGCGAACGCATGGGACGAAACAAATTAAAATGGCCACTCGCACTCACAAGTGTCCACCTTCCAACCGTTGCATGTGTTCCCCTTCTTCATCCTCATCACGGACCCCTATCCCCCCATCTTGTTCCTCCCCGCGTTTCTCTTCTCCTCTCGCCCTCCTCGCCGTCCTCCACCATCTCTCCCTTTCCCTCCTCTTCTTCTTCCTCCTTCTCCTGGCAATCTGACAAGCGCTGTTTTCTCACGAGAAGGCTAGATGGTAGCGGGGCCAAATGTCAACGCTAACGCTCACACTTGCCTGCGTAACGTGTGACACTGCTCGTCGCCCAGTCGCACGGCCATGTTCAAACACCCTCCCTCGGCCAATCCTATTCTTGCCGAGTGGAGCGACGGGCGGGAACTTATATAACGCGAGCTGGATAGGAACCCGCTGAATTAATCAAGACAGGCATGTGGGAACAAATAGTAAGAGAGTAGAGAAGCCCGGTAGCGAATCTAAACGCGCATTGTAATTTAGTGTTTCAGTGGTGCATGTAGAAAGCGAATCGATTGGGGCGTAAACGCACAGGGCACCCTAGCATGCAGTACGTTGTTTAAGTGTCGCAACGCACCAAGGCACGCATACTCTTTTACACAATCAAAAATATGCGTAGACGAGCACCTAGATCTCAACTGGCCATGAGCTCAAGTCCCCGACAAAGCGGCTCGCGATGATAACCCGGAAATGGAAATGCTAACACTTCGCTGCGGGCGCCAAGGAATGCCTCCCGCTAGCCGTGCGTTGATTGGTACGTACTTCGCATGTACCTGGGCGCGTCGTCCCTGCTAAAACATGTGGTTGAAACGTTTGCAAGAGTTTCACGGGTTCCAGCGTTCATCACGATGACGTCTCTTCGTCGCACGGCACATCGACAATTTATTGCACCACCCGGTGCCTACGACAACGTACGTCATTTACCATCGACAGTTCGTGCTCACTCCACCCCCATTAATATTGGGCACGGCCCAGGATCGCCGAGACAGTTCTGTGATTTAGCATTCTGTCGATCGCCTGGGGAATTCCAAGCAAGTCCTGCTCGCGCGCCCCCAATATCAGATGGGGGGGGGGGCGGAGCGTTGACGGACGCGTTCCAGGGCCCGCCGAAAGTGATGCAGCATTTTGTCGATGTGCGGCACCTTCTTCTGTAACCAAAGGTAGCAAATTCGATGCGTCTAGCTTTCCCTAGTCCTGGCCGGACCGCACATGCAAGTACCGCACTAACATCGCTCTTCAACGCGGCACTGCAAGAAACATCGAAATCTTTGAGAATTGCTTGAAGACCTATCCCCGCGTCGCAACTGATCCACCTGTCACCATTCCGCCATGCTCCGCTCTTCCTGGAAATAATGCCACGACGCTCTGCGTTGAACTCCACGACCTTATCACATGTGGTCCCGGCAAAGATGTTCCTCCACGCGTTGATTACTCTGGCATGGCCGGCATCAGCCACGCGGCTAACTCTTTACGGCACTCTCAACACAAGTACTGCTGACCACGCCTGTCGTGGCTCTATGAGTGCTTGCCCAATGTGGCCAGGCCCTTCCATGCCCCCCGGGTGGGAAATCACATGGAGCGCGCAAGCTCCTTGACCGAAAACTGCGTGAATGAACGACCCTGCGCATGACTCCGCGACCGTGGCTGGGAAGGGGCCCCCTTTTCTTCCCCCCCGCGCGCCTGCTTTCCCTCGCATCTCGCATCTCACTTTGACCTGCTCCAGGCCCAATTCTTTCACGCACATCTCTGCATGTCTCTTGTCTGCCTCATGCCACAACCCGCCGCGGTTCCTTCCTGCACGTCGGTTCAAAAATCCGACTGGGTACAAATATTATGGTCCTGGTCCAAATCGGCCTCGGGAAACCATAGAATTCCCCATCGCCTCTCCATCGAACTAATCGAGGTCAACGCCGCTACCTAGTAAAATGAAACCATGCCCATGCACTGTTTACCGGGTTCGCCATGTCTCGTGTTTTAAAAGCGCTTGGTGATGCCCTTCCGCCGTCATGACCAATGTCGGACGCGAAAACCACGTGGCAGCCCCCCCGTCCAGGGTGCCGTGCGTTGCGCATATGCCTGGTTCACGATCTTCTTCGGGCAACCTGATGAAGATGTTCGTTCTCCTTGGCCTTGGCGGCCTTGGCGTAAAAGCGCGCCGGCTTAACGTCGATGCGTCCGAGCTTAAGTCCCTGTTTGCGCTCTCCGCGGTGATATCCTATCTCCTCAGCAACAGCCATGGAGAACAATTGCTGTTGGGCTTCGAGTGGAAACGCGGCTGCAAGTCTGTTCTTTTCCTGCGAGCTGCACTTGACTTGCTTAGCCGCAAACCGGGATCGGCACTCAGGACTCGCGTCGCCCAGCATCTGCCCAGCATTCCTCCACGCCCACCTTCTCGAAGTCTTCGTGTTTCCTAAATTGCCCCCCCCCCCCGAGCCTATAACGCGGGTCCTGGGTCAACCTCGCATCCGAGCGCATCATCCCGCGACTGTGCTGTTGTATTTTCGCGACGAACAACGCGCAAATCACCTCTGGTAACCGGCCGCGCCCCCTCCACGCTCCCGCGTGCCTCGCGCGACGCCGGAGCGTTCAATCACCCCTGATGTTGGCGCTCTCCGCGCATCCATTGGCGAGGCCGGGTGCCCTGGTTTACGCGGTAGGTGAGTATGGTGACGATATTGCGCGGTCATCCCCTGAACAATATCCTCCGCCCCTTTTCCCTGAATCTCACTGACCTCCATGTCCGCGAGTGCGCGGCCGGCGCCGCAGTCCTGAGTGACTCCGCGCAGGCGCGCGCTCCATGTTGCCCCTGAACTCCCTGGTATCAGAAGACGCGATGTGCCGAATGTTTTGCTGGTTTAAATTAACGCGGGCCGATTTCCGTGCCCATGTGGTTCGCGCCCGATTTCATAAATGCCCACTCCTCCGCCTCGTTCATTGCAGCAGACCTTCGGGTTATAAATTCAGCAGGGACGCCCCGACCGGTCATTGATGCTGGCGCTGGCCTTGGCGCTTGGCGCTGACAGCTCTTCCGATGCATGGGCTGCTCGTTATGGACCGCGTGGGTTTCCATACTGATCCCTCTTCTGTTTTTCCTGCCTGTTTCAAATCATCATGGCACTACCCGCCATCATGTGTCCGCGCGTCGTCGCGCCGTAACATTTTCCGCAGTCCAACTCGCGGCCCCCGAAAGGTATTCGAATCATACCTGTAACCCATTATTTTCTGCATCTCAAACAGTTCCAACGCAGACCTGAGGCGCTTAACCCCCGGACCAAGCATGTTCCTCATTTGTTCAGGCACGCGCCTTTTTCAAATCGAAGGCCTGCAGCCTGCTGAAAGATGCGTGCACTGGAATCGCACTTAACAGTAAGGCTGCTTTGCTCTTGGCGATGTTCTTCCCTTCTGCTCGCATCCCCCCGCGTCGAAAGCCCCGTTCGGTCCATGGCTAATCTTGGTGCGAGTCGCATTATTCCGCCATGCCAGTAACTCGGACTGGCGAGTGAGCCTCAGTAGCGTGCGCCTGCAAGTCATGCTGACCCTTGCCGCATAGCCATGCTGTTCACCTGATGTCATTCACCTGCTTAAATGACGCCCAAAGTTATGCCGAGCAACCACGCCACCACATCCGCGTTGAGGCCTATCATTTTTACTCCGTGCCGTACGTCGTAAATGTTTCTTATGTCCTGTTCTTCACTATCCTGCTCAAGTTGTCCTCCATGTTCTCGTCGTAGGGCCCCTCGCCTCCTCCAGCTTTCATCGTCTCTGGGGCCCTCTGTCTTTCTTCTTGTTGATGCTGATCTCGACGGGGGAACGTCAGCTGGTCGTTGATCGTCGTTGCCTCCGGAGATAGCGTGGAACTCAATCCATCCCGCCCAAGGTCCTCGCGACTCCTTTTTACCTCGACTTTCACGGTATCGGACATATGTTTGATTTCGCCAGCTTCCTGACCTAATCGCAAGCGTTCGTCTATCACTGCTCAATCGCCTTGGCGCTCTAACCCCCATGCCTCTCGGCGCGTGCAGTGCGGCTCTGGGTTCGCGACGCCGTCGGATGGCTAACTCGCCCCTCGTAGCCCAGTCGCCTACCAATGGATGCTGCCTGTCCTTGTCCTGATGGGAACTGCTGGGCTCCATCCTCATCTGGGTTGCTGCTAATCTCTCTTTGACGTTCGGATCGCCATGCCCTGTGAGCTACTCGATAACGCGCTCTTGACATGCTGCGCTGCGAGGTCTGTGGGTTGCATCGCCTCTGGACACAACTTGGCGCCCATCATGTTCTGGCGCGCGTCGCGCAGCCATGCGCTCCGGTTTATGCGCCGCCATTTCTCTAGCTACTAACGGCCAGGCATCTGCGGCTAGGCCTTGACTGGGCACCGCCATCGGTAATGTCACTGACTGTAAACCTCATTTCAAGCGCGTTTGAATCTGGCTGCCAAAATAAACTTTTCATAGGTTAACCACATCAAAACTCCACATCTCCTCATCGCTGACTCGGCGGCACTCGCGAGACTTGATGGCGCCCTCTGCAGACAGGGGAAGGTTACGCTTTCGATGTTTTCGGTGCGTTTTGTTTGAGATACTGACCGTTTACAGAAGTTTCGCGACAAATGCAAGCATGAGCATTCGCGTCGAGAGTGAGTGGGCCATGGCAGATTGACGCATCCCCGCAAGGCGCACGGGGCTCCGTACAATGTCATTGCAGACGCCAGTAAAGTAGTTGGGCGGAGCCATGGGGGGGGTCGGCGGAACCACCGGGGGGGCGCATTTTCAGGTTCCCTCAGGTCCCTTATATTATTATAATCGCCAAG